TGATCATTCGTTTTCTTTTTCTCCTCCTTGTAATAACTTAATTAAGGCATTACGAAATGGTATGAATGAATAAAGTCAAGTTACATGGCTTAAAACAAAACTAATATAGAGGCGATTGATTGCTGAAACCCAGATTAAATTTAAAATTGGGGTCGGGGGTGACGGTGTGAGCTCATCATATAAAGTTCAAAATATGTCAAATGGTGGATGTAATTTTCCACTTCTGAAAATGCCCATGCACTCATTCACTCATAATTGCACTATTATGCAACTAATTGTCCCATCTTCTAAAGATCATTTGGAATTTCAAGAGGACAAAACCTGCGTTTAGAGGTTGTGCAGCCTACAATTAAGTGCACGTCACCACATATATTTGTGACTATGTCGGCGTGAGACAAGCCTTAGCCCGGAGTGCTCGATCAGTTCAAAAATTGAAACTGGCCGCCTGTAGCGAAAGTATTTTATTTTATTTTTTAAAATGTTGGCTATTTTCTCTAGTAAATCTGGACCAAAATACATTGATACACATCTGTTGTGTTCTGTTTCCAGCCGATTCAGAAGGTTTCTGATAATTTACTTCATTGTAATTTATTTTGTTTTGTTTTTATCTTTTCCTGGGACGCCTAAATATAATAAATAAATAAATAATAATAATAATAAAAAAAAACAGGGCTGGAGACAGGGAGTTCCTGCGCGGGGTGATTCCTTGTGATGTGAAATCATTTAATACTTCTAATAAAAAACTTAACACATTGTTGTGAAAGCTTTATGTCCGTGTGGTTGAATGTGAAATATACTCTGGAGATCGCTCCAAATGGAACAGCAATATGCGCCTCTGTGTTGTTTGCAACTGTTGCCGCCACATGTTCAGCAGAGGGATGCGTTCACTGTCAAAATGCTACAATAAATTGAAAAAAAAAAAAAAAAAGATAAAACAAAAAGAGAGAGGGGCTGCTTTAGTGTTGCTTGAAACAATTTGCAGCACTCGCAGCTGAATTTAACTGCCCAACTTACATCCAATTAAACCTTGGGCCATGAGGGGACGGTGATATGATTACACAAGGCTTCCCACATTTAGCCATGACTTCAGCGGGCTTTGCAGCAGCGTCTCGGTGAACGTTGCTCATTGCGAGTGCGTTGGTGTGCATGGTGTGAGAGCTGTATGATGTGGGGAAGGATTTATAACCACAAAGCCAAAACATTATAATATTTAGGAGGCGTCATTTTTCTTTTTTCATTCCTTTTTTTTTTTTTTTTTTTTTTTTTAGTTTCTCCGGGTGACACCTAGGTTAACCATTTTAATTATGGTGCTTAGTAGCGATACATAGCTTAAATTCCTCAGACGCAGTCGTTAAAGTTACTGCTTTAACTGTGATATTTAAGACGAACGCATGGCAAAAAGCAGTCAACAAATTATCATGACAGTTTCCTGAACCCTACTCCCCTGATATTGTTAACCAGGGAGTCGCTTCCTTTTTGTACTGAAGAAGGAGAAGAAGAAGAAGAAGGAGGAGGAGGAGGAGAAGAAGAAGAAGCTGCTGCGGATCAAGTCAACTGAGGAGAACTTCGCCTGTAAACCGGCTGCCACATCCCATAGTCATATTTGGTGCAGCATAATCAAACATTCCCGGGTCCTATTGCTCACTGAGTTCGTCCTCCGGAGAAATAAACACATGCTGAAGCTTTATTCTTTGACTGATGGGCTGAGTGCGTACAGGCGAGAAAAGTCGGTGTTTTTTAAACCCTCGGAAATCGGATATTGCCAAGTCGTGGTCATATTCTACCACGTTATGACACATGCGGCGACTTGAAAACAAAAGGAGCGCTTGTTTCCCTGACATTTAAAAACTTAGTAAACAGATTGGAATGGTTTCCTTTTCCCCCCACCCCCAACTCATTCTCCTCTTGCCTTGATTAGAGCCTTTAATGCTTAGACTTTATTATTGCATTGCTTATTCATACTGCAGCATTACTTATTAATGCCGCATTAATACGCATCATTGGAAAGATTATGATGGAGAAATGAATTGACAATGTTGTTTTGGTCTGTCCGTCTCAGTGCTTTTACCGTCCAGAGAAATAAACAAAAGGAATTATTTTATTGCTGCCCAATCCATATTATTTGTTTCATAGAAAAATATATTTTTTATTATTGTCAGCTGCCAAATACTATGAGTTTAAAAATGATTTGCCATCACTGCGAGGGCTTGCGTGTTTTACTCACTGCGCGTCCTGCATTGCAGCAAGGCAAAAACATTTTTATGTGAAATTCGTCGTTTTGCAAATACAGAAGGTAACGCAGCAGCAGCAGCAGCATGTATCCTGAATGAGAAGCCGCAAGGCCAGTGCTTTTTGCACAAATATTTCCATAGTTACGCTTGATGATTTGGACCCACGACAAAGTAAATCGGCAGCTGTGCATTCAGAGGCGCAGATAACTCGCAGTATTATTTTTCTTCCACTGTTTTTTCGAACTTGAATAGTTTAGCGCGTTGCACGTGCGTCCCAAGACGCGAAAATTCAGATGTTTGCCTAAAAGTCGAGAGTTATCTGAATTTGCTTATTTGTAAAGAGGGAAAAGAAGAGAGTAAAAAAAAATAAAAATTTAATAAAATAAATCATAAGCATTTTTTTAAAATGAGCAACTTCCCTCTATTTTTGAAATGCAGAATAGAATATATTAGTTTACTGAAATCCAAATTCCTCTCATTCTCCGCGTTAATGGTTTTCTATGGAACAAAGGGGATTTAGCGTTACTGCAGTCATTCGGAGTTTTATGGTTGGACGTAGAGAGGATTTTAGTGGTCAAATTCAAGTGCTGTGTCTGGACAGCTGTCTGCTTTCTTTGTACTTGGATGCAGGAAGCATCATGTGAGACAACCTTTTGTTTGCTGGAGGTAGTAAACAAGTTAAAGCCATTGCCACGTTTCAAACTCCAAGTTTCCAAACGCTCAGATCTTGACCATGTTGCTCTTTTTTTTCTTTTTTCAGTGTTTTTTTTTTTTTTTTTTTTTTTTTTTGCTCTTTCTTTTACTGTTGGAAATCAAAACTGATAAGAGTAGGGAAATATAGAAACTCTTTCTTTGAGCAGATTTTTTATTTATTTTTTTCCCCCAGCAACACGTGTGTCAAGGGAGTTTAATAGAACGGCTGCGTTATTGGGTTAGGATTTAAGAGTCTGTTTAGGAAGTTCCCTGTGATCAGAAACAATGGGGCGTCGTATTAATTTCGCCTTGTAACTGTATCAGTCTATAAAGACTCAAAGATGGGGCTCAGCAGTACAATTAAAAGTCTGAAATCACACGCAGCTGCTCTTTTTCCCTCCAAACCTTTCATTTTACGGGATTTTTTTTTCTTTTTGTTGTTTTTTTTAAGTGTGTCCGTCTGTCAACCACTGATAAATGTCAACATATATGTGAGAAATTAAGGACAAGATCGAATCCCTCTGTCTCTCTTTATTGTAAGCGTCGGGGTAGAGAAACCTGTCAGAAAGAAATCATGTACATGATCGGATAATATTCTTATAAATAATAATAATAATAATAATAATAATAATAATAATAACAACAACAATAATAAAAAACTCACCCATAAAATGTTTAATAAAGAGGACAGTAATTTATCTCTAAATTATAACGTTTCGAGCACGACGCTCAGTCTCTGTGGCTGGGCTTTACACTAGATCCACCAGTGTCATTTGTTTCTTTGTGCTCACCCCCGCACCCCGCAACATTTAAAAGTTTGTGTTTGTGCAACTAGAACACATCAGGCATCAGGAGGGGAGAGATGCACGGTCCCTGCTCGCAGAGGGGGCTCCACTTGTGCCTTATCCTTTGCAAGAATCCCAGAGACGCAGTGTGTGGCTGGTGGCTTGCACAGTTGGCCTCCTTAAACTCTGTTCAGACCCAAAGTCAACGGGAATAATAATGAGAGCAGTCCGATTTCTTTATCTTGTGCAGTCTGCCCATGCCTGCGGTGCGTTGCTCATTGCCCCACCGCCGCTTTTTCTTCAGCATATAATTATAGTCAACAAGAACCGCCACCAACACCACCACCTCTGCGCTGAGGAATAAACGCACGTTAATTTACAGACAGAGTGGAAATACCATAAATACAATAACCCGGCGAGTTTATGTGATGGATTATTTCATGTAGCGTGGCTGGCGATTCCTTCATAACCAAGTGTGAAGCAGACACCTGTAACGACTATTAAGAAAATGACACCATCAAATGTTATAACTATGTTTGAAAGATCTGCAGCATATGGACAGGGCCGGGTAGGAAGTCGAGCATGTATGTTTTATTAAGAAACAAATTTGATATTTACTACTTTTGAAACGGTGGGGCAATGAATGAGAACTGATATTGGCTGCTTAATGTGCTGCTCGGATGCACCATCCGTGAAATACGTGAATAAAATTTTACCTACATCCTGATAGAAGTCTGATCTAATACTAGTACTGCTACTACAACTATTTCTACTACTACTACTACTACTACTACTACTACTACTACTACTACTACTACTATTAATAATAATAATAATAATAATAATAATAATAATAATAATAATAATAATAATAATAATAATAATAATAACATTAATATTAATTATAACAACAATAATCTTACCTTTAAAATCCCTCAAAAACTATCAAATGCCTGTCCCTGATTGCACTCTAGAAATTGTGCTTTGCCTTTTTAAGAAGCCCTGGCTTTTTAGCTGGCCTACTAGCCCATAAGCATACACACATACACACACCTACACACACACACACACACACCTACACACACACCTACACACCCACAGCCACACTCTCACACACACACAAATGCTGCACATATCTCACTAATTGTCATAAGCCAGCAAACAAGAATCTGTAACTGGTTTGCTCAGTGCGCCTGTGGCGTTTGAAAATTATTCGTTTGAACCTCCTCGATCTACCTAAAGCCAACCACTCCTACACATCCAACTCTTCCAAATTGATATATGACAATATCTACTTTCGATCACGTGTCTGCGGGGCGACTTAGACGGATTGCGCGTCATCTCGCCTTCCCAAATTTTTCCCCTTCTGCTGCAGCTCGAATCCAAAACATCTATCTATAGTGGCCGAGTAGCGAGAGAGCGAAAGATGTTTAACTCGGTGAATCTGGGCAACTTCTGCTCCCAGACACGCAAAGACCGGACATCCGAGTTTGGGGACAGGACGGGCTGCGCTTCCAACATCTACCTCCCCAGCTGCACCTACTACGTCCCCGAGTTTTCCGCCGTCTCCTCGTTTCTTCCGCAGGCCCCTTCGCGGCAAATCAGCTACCCTTACTCCACGAATCTGTCTCAAGTGCAGCCGGTGCGGGAAGTTTCGTACGGCTTGGACCCCGCCAGCAAATGGCACCACAGGAGCAACTATGCGTCGTGCTACTCGGGAGAGGATCTGGTGCATAGAGACTGTCTTCCTCCATCCACCATGACAGAAATGCTCATGAAGAACGAGAGCGTGTACAGCCACCACCATCACCACCATGCCCACCCGGGATCCAATCACCCTTCCACGGGCTTTTACTCTGGCGTGGGGAAAAACAACGTCCTCCCACAAGGCTTCGACCGCTTTTTCGAGACCGCATACTGCAGCAGCACGGACAATCAGTCAGACAATTGTTTACAAAAGGGCGAGGGAGGGAAGCTGGAAAGCGACTCCCAGCAGCAGCAGCAACAACAGCAACAGCAGCAGCAACAGCAGGACGCCACAGCCGCTATATCTGGAGTCCCGGAGCCGGGGAAAGACCCAGACGACGAGGAGGAACACACGAATTCAGGCTCCTGCACCTCTTCTTCCGCCACAGCCAAGGACGGAAACGCCAGCAAGAGCAGCCACTCGAGTAGGTACAGCCGAAGCTGTAAAACGGGGGGAAGGTTAAGGGGACTAGACCGGTGTTTTGTCGGTCAGATTTTATGTGGAGTTTTATAAGCATTCAAAGGATTTTATTATAACCCTACAAAGCTCTTTCTTGCAACGGGAAGAATTTTTACGATGGGAAAAGGGCTTTGAAAAAAGAAAAAGTGGGGGATGTTATACACAGACGCCTCTATGGTGAGAGTCTGTGAAATTTTTTAAGACAGAGCCATTGTGACAAATGTTAACTTTGATCGTGAACTTGCGTTGGTCATTTTTAAGGGATTTTCTTGTTGGGGCTGTCGTGTGTAAAAACCAATTGGGCAGAACATTGCTTTTGGCGTCCGGTGAATTATCTTTAGCACAGGGTTTGCGCGCAAAAAAAGAGATGCAGCAAAGAGCATTAAACACAAAACGATCTATCTATCTATCTATCTATCTATCTATCTATCTATCTATCTATCTATCTATCTATCTATCTATCTATCTATCTATCTATCTATCTATCTATCTATCTATCTATCTATCTATCTCTATCTATATATCTATCTATCTATCTATCTATCTATCTATCTATCTATCTATCTATCTATCTATCTATCTATCTATCTATCTATCTATCTATCTATCTATCTATCTATCTATCTATCTGAAATATGCTATGTGAAGATGCTAAAAAGCTTAATATGCGGTCTAGATCACTTGTTTAGAAAAGACATTATCAGAAAATATATTGATTAGATATCAACTAAAATTAAAGCTCACCATTATTTGCCAGTGTAAGTAGATCATTCAGGGTGTGGATTCAAACCTGAGACTTAAATTTCTCCACTTTCCACGCCAGCACACACACACACACACACTCACACACTCGTGTTGCACAATAAAAGAAATGTATTTCCCCGGTCACCTGTTTGATAAGGAGTGATAGGGCCACTGGAATCTTGCACAGGGGCCGCTGCAGACGAGAGGCAATGCATCCTCTGCCAGAAGATTGTGCAAATTGTTTAGTTTAGCTCCAGAGGAATGTGACGCACATAATGCAGGGCGAAAATACTTTTTGTTATTGTGTATTTGTAACAGATAAACACGTACTTAGCGAGGCTGTAAGTTGATATTATTCCCTCCGAACTATTTTGGATATTTAGCACTCTTTATGGCTGGTTTATCTGATAGCCTCAGCTACTTCCCTTCATGAATGTGGTTTGAAATGTTATCATTGCTAATGCCACTGACAGAGGATTTTCAGCACCTGGCGAGCCTATTGCCACCTCAGCACTCCACTCTATCTTTATTATTTTTATACTCTTTATTTTCATTCTCCCCCCCGCCCCCCACCAAAAAAATAAATAAAAAATAAAATATGACATTATTCCCCACTTGATCTGATCAAGTAATAATATTAGTATTATTTTTTTCTTCCTCATCCAGGCGTCCCTCGAACAAGGAAGAAGCGGTGTCCCTATTCCAAGTTTCAAATTCGAGAGCTGGAGCGGGAATTCTTCTTCAACGTTTACATCAACAAGGAGAAGAGGCTCCAGCTTTCCCGAATGTTGAACCTCACCGACCGCCAGGTCAAAATCTGGTTCCAGAACAGAAGAATGAAAGAGAAGAAGCTGAGCAGAGATCGCTTGCAGTACTTCTCTGGAAACCCCCTGTTGTGAGCAGAAAGAGTGTCACAGGACAGTGGCATAGAGGCCTCCTCCTCCTCCTTCTCCTTATCTCATTGAATGAATGGTAATCGTGGGCATAACCGTTTTTTTTTTCCTTTTCCACAGAGGAGCCCATATCACCAACAGTGCAATGTGAAAAAAAAAATGAACAGTGGAAGAAAATAGGCCTTTCAATAAGGGGAGGGGGATAATGTCGCCATTTTCTTATTATCCTGCTGGGCGGCGATGAATTTCTAGCTGGTTTTACCCCCTCTGACAAAAAGGCCTGCGTTAGAATAAACATTTATTATGCTGGTCTTGAAAATGTCCTATTTATCACGACTCTCCGTTTGTCTTTAATCTACTGTTCGTATCGACATATTTGTTAAAGTATCAGCAGAACAACTTTTAGCTCTTACTCCAGCCTCTGGTCAGTGTATATAGCATATCAATATCTAAAATATTTCATCATCGACCAGAGTGTGGGCAGAATTTTTTTTTTTTTTTTTTTTTTCAGGCCATATATTTTTTTCCCTCCTTGAGAGATGTGGTATCCAAATCTGTGAAAGTATTACATCACCCCCCCAACCCCCGCCCCCCCCAACCTCCTCCTCCCGGCCACCTTCATGTATACAGAATAGCCTATGCAATGTGCATTCGTGACTGTAAATAGGCATATGTTGGATTTTTTTTTCTCCATATCCCTGCTGCTATTTTTCAGCACACTTGCCCATGCCACACGAATAGCTTTAATGGCGACTCTTGTTAAATTATTTGCTTCAGACATTTTGGTGCTTTGGATCGCAGAGAGGATGAGCAGATCGTCGGCCTGTGTATCGCTACAATAACTAAATAAACAGAAACCTATAGGCAAAACTGAACGACTTTGTGCTATTTGTGCTGTTACATTGCATACTCGTGTTTTTTTTTTTCTTTTTTGTTTTTGGGCACAGCGCTGCTTTTTCTTTTTTCTTTTTGTTTTTCTTGTGTGACTTGCATGCCTCTTGGAAATATCAACTTCTGTTAAATTTGAATATGTAGACCCTGGCACAATGTACCCGTCTTAATGGCTTGTGCGTTTGGATACAAGCGTTGGAAGCGATAGGACTGAAGGCTCAAATATCAGCGGATATTTCGGGAACTGTTCGCAGATTTTCTCATTTTTTTCCACGTGGATTCCCACTTTAGGCGTTTTCTCGCGCGTTGAACGAACCACAGCTTAGATCCTTCATAGAGAGAAAGAGAGAGAGGCCAAGAAGGGAATGATAACCTCTTTTAGTAGACACTAAATGGAATCGCCACTCTTGTAGTCTAGACGCTGCCATAAAGACAGAGGCACTAAATGGCTATTTTTTTCTCTTAATTGCACCGTCTGTTCTGGGGAAATGGTGTTCACTTCCGCACTAAATAGTAAACAAGCAAGACTAGATGTCCTAAGGAAGAACAGTGAGAAATAGAGGTTTTAGAGATGAACTAGGTCTGTGACATATGCAAGAAAAAGAAGAAAACAAAAAAAAGTGGGCAACAGAAAGCAAACGTGTGTGTGGGGGGGGGGGAGGGGGGATTCGTGTGTGCGTGCGTGTGTGTGTAAGAGTGTGTATTATGTTGACGGAATTGACGCATGTGACTTGCGAATGTGACGGTGCGCACACCATATGTGCGCAGGATGATTGCACGTGTGCATTAAGCACAATGTATAATTAAATGTAGTCTTTGAACTTCAATAATGTCAAGGCCTTCACCTTTAACCCGCCGCAATAAAGTGGAATCAAGGAGCCCGGAAATGGTCGCAGCGGCGGAACGGACCAATGGGAGTGAGTGGGAACAGAAAATGGAATGCGTACACAGGACCAACTTTGACCTTTCGCATTAAACTACAACAGGTAACTTTGCCAGCTTTAACACATCCAGTAAATACACTTTATTGTCCCTGTAAAAAAAAAAAAAAGAAAGAAAAGAAACCGTAGGTGTTCACGCATGAGGCGATTTTAAATGTGCAGATTTGTACTCGGTTCGCACACAAATTGAGGGTTTGTATGTGTGTGATGATGTGACTGTTAATAAATTACTATGTGATTATTTATTTGTATCACATATATTTTGTGCACGTTCGCAATTTCGAAAGACAATCATTTAGAATAGAGTCGATGAGGTTTGGTTGATTTTTTTTTTATCTAATGCTTTTAATTTGGAAAAAAAACAAAGATGATGGAAAAAGACTCTTTGTATTCACGTGACTTTTTTTGTTTCCCCCTTGGATCGCCTTTGTAACGTCTGTGACCCTGAATTAATCATAATCACAGTAAAATTGCATATCTTAAGGGAGTATCTAAAAAAAAAAAAAAAAAAAAAAAAAGTGGGGGTTGGGGACGTTCAATGTAGAGAGGATGCGCACAGACAGAGATCAAGGCTACATGCGCCCCCGTCTTACGCCACACCTACCAACCTTGGCCCCTGGACGGTGACGTGAGTAATTTGTAAATTTCCCCAACACCCAACGTCACCAACACAGAGCTCTGGGGGTCTTCTGCGAATGTTGTCCATCAACCACACGGGGGCCAGGATTCCCTTCTTTCTGGCCTCGGCGCTGGTTCGTTTTCCTGAACGGGAGCCTGAAAGTGACATCAGAGCAGTAGTGGCCTACTGTTATCCACAAAGAAGTCCTCTCGGATTATGTGCTGTTAGCACAAGAAAACCCTAACTCTAACAGTGAGGTCCTCGCTGTGTTCCAGTCTGGTTTCTGCACTTCGGAGTAGTTGGCAGGGAAAATGGCGACTTACTTTATTATTATTATTATTATTATTATTATTATTATTATTATTATGATTGTTTATTCATTTGTAAAAATAATTGTAGCTTTAACGTAGCTGCGTAACAGTCAGTGAAAGATTGAAGCTGTAACTTTAAAAAAAAAGTAAGAAAGAGTGTGTCCTTTTTGTTGTGTGCTTGCGTGGATAGTAATTTTCTAAATAACTTTCAGCGGTCCATGGGAAAACAATAAATTGGAAAAAAAAAACTAAATAATGGAAGCTAATATTTGTTATTATTTTTTAAATATCCATTACTTGTCATTTCATGTCTATTGTCTACGTTTGTCTTAATAAATTAATTTGCAAAAGCAAAAATAAAACACGTTGGTTCGAACACTGTTCCAAACGGCTCAGAAAATACGAAAGAAAACTCGCAGACTCGCACGTAATTCAAAGATAATTCCGCAGTATTTTTTCTTAAATGATAATATTGTATTTTTTATATTATTCTATTTTATTTATTTTTTTTCTTTTTTGGAAGGATGTCGATGATTATAGCAAAGTTTCACCTTTAAAAGAACATGGCGCCTCGGACAGTAGAGCGCTGATTTCAAAGTCGTCTTCAACATGAGATAGAGTACGTGAGCAAAGTTGCATCAACTTTCTAAACAATTTAATGAAATTTTTCTAAAAATACAAGATTTGTTTAGTTTCAATTTGCTTCCGGTGAACTTTAACATTACACCGAAATTTACTTATCTCGGTCAAAACAGGCAAACTTAATTTTTTTTTTTCAGGTAAACTGTGACAAGTTTGCCAGAGTAACCTTGCTGGTATTTTTTTTTTTTAGAAGTGGGGTGTTTTTTTGTCCAGGTTGTTAGGGGTCAATACATAGGAAAATGCCGCCAGCTACAAATAATTATATAAAATTAAATGGGGGCAAAAGTCATTTAAACTGCTCGTCATTTGATAAAACTCAGTCCTGACAAAAATTGAAAAAAAATATTAAAAACTGTTTTTTTTTTACTGTATTTGTCTACAAAAGTGTAAGATTATTTAAAATAAATAATCTTGCATTTGACTTAATTTAAGTATGTACCCATCATACTAATTTATTATAAATTCTTACTCGGTTTATCTGCTATTTTGGAGTAAATATAGGAGTATCCCAGTTCCTTATTCCTCCGCAGATACTAATCAAAGGGTTATAGGCTATTCAATGGTTTTACACTACAGTGTCTCAGCACCTAACCTGTTCTATTGGGCTATAAAACAGCTCCTAGCTGTAAAACGAGCTCCTGCTCTTTCAGCAACAGCTCCCTCTCTCAAATGCAATCGCGGGGTGCCGTTTATTCTCGCCACCAAAACAAGCCTTATTAAAATAAATAAATAAAAGCTTTCACATTGGAAATGGTGGCGTGTCTGCGTTTCCTGCTCTCGTGTTTTGCTGTTAAATCGGCAACGCTGCTCTACTTTTGTTGTTGGTGTTTAATTAAGCTCTTACATGATTCTGGAACCATAAATTTGCAGTTGCGCATGGGTTGGACACCAGCATGAAAGGCAAAACAAAGCGCAGTCTCCCACACATCCAACTGGAAAGATATTTCAGAGTGGCTGCCAGGAAGTAAATTGATTGTGTCGCCTCGTTGCAGCTCCTGGTTGGTGGGTCTGCAGAGAGGACAACCCACGCAGCATTCAACACTCTTACCTGTTCGGATTATGATAACAACCTCCAGGTTTGCAATCAAACGGACGGTAATTTTGCTTAGACAAGTGTAAAGACCAAGGTAAAATACAAGCATAGTCCACTCCCTTTCTCTCAGTCAGTGTGCACATGTGCGTGGCTGTTTTGGGTGATTTCTTGAAAGCTTAAAGGCGCATGTGCAGACATGCACATGTGAAACCGAGGCGCTGTCGTGTCATACCAGATATGTTAGTTGTCCTGGAAAGTGTTTCTTCCTTCTTCAAAGAAGAAAATTAAGTGAAACAAAATGTGTCTCGGTGAAACAGCCGTGACCCGTTTTCATGTAAGGACTTGGCCCGGATAAACAATCAGCATGTTGTTGAGGGAGCAAATTTAGACATAGCCAATGACAGGATGTTCTTTTTCTGAATATGACTTTTTTCTTTTGGTTCGTTTCCCTGTTAGCCATGCAAACTTGAATAGTCCCCTTCAGTGCAAACAGTAACATAGTGTTTCTGATTCACTTCGACTCGATGACACAAATTTCACTATTACCTATATGTACCATCTGCAGACAGAAATATTATATATATATATATATATATATATATATATATATATATATATATATATATATATATATATCTATATATATATATCTATATATCTATCTATCTATATATATATATATATATATATATATATATATATATATATATATATATATATATATATATAGATAGATATATAGATAGATATATAGATATATATGTGTGTGTGTGTGTGTGCGTGTGTGTGTGTGTGTGTGTGTGTGTGTGTGTGTGTGTGTGTGTGTGTGTGTGTGTGTGTATAAATGTTCTGTCTTATGCGACAATAAGGTGTGCGTCGTGGAATATGTGTGATTCGAACAATAAAAATTCCACGAATTTTTTTTCCACTCTCATTGAAAACCTGTTTCCATGACGCCGTGTGACTTATTTGTCCTGTACTATCATGAATACCATTTCTTTTTCATTTTCTTGTAGTGTGTGTGAAATTCCACCATGGCACCTTTGCTCGCTTAAAAAAAAGAAAGAAAAAGAAAAAAAAAAACATAAAACAAACATCTAAACTCAAGTTCTGAGCAAGCCTGTGATTTTCTCATAGGTGTAAAATAAGACTGTATGTGATTTTTGTTTCTTTTTTTTGTGCTAAGCAGATGGCTTGTCGGCTAATGTATCATGTAATAAGATAGCCACCCTGTGAGATTCTTCATCTGTTTTTATACAAGGCAGATGCTTGAGTGTATTAAACAGTGTTGCTATTGTCAATGTTAACATTCCATTCTTTCGAGCTTTAGTTTCTGATCCCCCCTTTGAATAATGCTTACAGAAACATTTTATCTACGAGAATCCTGCATGGCCAAAACTCTGAATCCTTTTTTTTTCTCTTTATTTTGTAAGGCCAATTTTTCACATTTTCTTCTTCATGTAGAGGAATGCGAATCACAAAGTCGAAATTAACTTATTTGGACTATTATCTGGCCAAAAAGCTTTTCTCTGTATATGTTCAGATTAGACGGACTGCCCGCTTCAAATGGACACGCAATGCTGCCCTTGCCGTTGAAGGTGATTCTGAACTGCGCACTAAACTCATGCACTTTGGACGGAGTGATACCAAAACAAAACAAAACAAAACAACAAACGACGAGCACATTCACCGACTCGGCAATGAACGACTTCAGGCGAGAGTGATCCACGCAGATCTGCTTTAAATCCACGACCATTAGCCGTTCCGCGTAATGTTATTTCTTTATGTCTGCGCAGACGCAAACACAAGTTAGCCAAATACTTCCCCAAATTCCTTCAAAGCCAAAAAACGCATCAACCACGGTGTCGTGGCCCTGCTCTTCGGGATTTTCCTCGTGTAAAATTGACTTAGGGGCAAACTGTTGTGCTAAATAAAATAACAAATTAAATCAATGTTTTGTTTTATTTTTTTGTTGCTTTTTTTATAAATCGAAAATAAACTCTGGATTTCTTTGTATAATTTAAGCGGTTGCGTTCTTTCCACCGTGTATTTACGCGGCGTAAATCGACCCGAGGAGCACAAATTGCAGCAGCAAAAACAAAAACAAGACATAAAAAAGCAGAAACACCCCCGACTTCACAACCTTGTCACTCAATATCAAATGAACTGGTGCTTTTTGACCACACACTTCCTATGGAAAATAGCACAGCTTACTTTCCGTCACACACTAATGAGACCCAAACATAATTAAGAAAAAAATGAGAAAAAAAAGAGAGAGAGAGTTATCTGCTGAAAGTACAAATATCACAAAGACCACTTTACTCTGTTAGATAATTCTCCCAGCTTTATTGAAACATAGTTAGAAACTGTTTTTTTTGCTTTCGCTGTTCAACGTGTCATAATGAGCACCAACAATTTTAAAAGTTCAATATATATATATATATATATATATATATATATATACATACACACAGGATAAATTCTAGAAAAGTTAAGTTTAATTAACACACGCCTTTTTCTGAAAAAAAAGAGTCAAAACATTTTTATTTTCAATCAGCAACACACCACTGTGGATTTAAAATAATAATCATGCATATGCAAGCATTTCCTCCTAATTTTCTCATTCGTCAGCCCGGAAGATGCTTCCTTGTTGACTAAAACACAAAGAAAGGAAGCAACTTGCTCAGCACGATTTCACATTTCGTTTTCTTTTACACCAAACACATAGAAGTAGTTATCCAGAATAAATGTCACGTTAATTAAAAACAAAACATCCCACAATTACGTAAGTAACAATATGGTTATGTATGACTTACTTATTTTAGTTAAGAATCTTGCATGCATATGATTAAAACAAAAACAGTAATTGTAAGATCTGAACGAATTCTGGTACACACCTGCAAAAACGATCATTGACGTTGTATATTTGCCAATTGTTTTGCATTAGTAGGTACTTTTTAAATATGTATATTTCAGTAAATGTTAAATACTAAGGTAAAGTTTGCTATGTCCCCCCCCAAACCCCCTTTTTGGGAATAACAAAGAAAACTGAAAGGGGAAAAAAAAAGAAGTGAACGAAAAATATTCGCAAATCCATCTCACCTCAACATCACTGTCACCGGGGTTTTACTAAATCACACGACGAATAAACAAAGCTTCCCTTAAGACCCGCGGACTTAAATGTTTACAAACCAAACCTTGAGTGTCTTAAAGAAATCCTTGCCGCAACCGCAGCAACAGCAGTCTGTCCTTTGTTCTTCCTGCTCAGGGCCTCCCGGTCTATGCGGAAAAACCGCCACTAGGTGGCGCTCACGTTCCACCAAAAGCCACCCGCTTTCCCAACTTGACCGCGATGACGTCACTCCAGTCTGGAGCATCAAGGCCACTTCCACGCCGCTATTGGTCTGAAGCTCACATGACATGTCTCCGAGCATCCATAATTGTGTTACACATATTTTTTTTTTGCACCCCCCTCCAAAAGATGTCAGCATCCTACTGTCCTTGTTCTCCTGCTGGAACCCCGCAGTTCAGAGCGGCGGAAAACACCAAGTGATCACCCCTCAAGAGTTGTCACATGCAAATATGACATGTCCGAATAACATATCGCCCGGTAACTTCCTGATGGATTCCTTAATGGGAGGATCATCTTCCTACAGGGCTGAGGGCTATTCCAGCAACCCGGGAATGTACATTCATTCAGCTGCAGAGTACGGATACTCAGTGATGAGGAACATTGGGAAGGTTGGATCATCCCCACTCTCCAAAAGAGACGAAGTCCCTCCAGGCAACGTCTCGCTCGGCGGCTTCCAGGATGCGCCCTACCTGTCAGCGCAGCTGGCCACATGGACACCAGGCTCCAAAAGCAGCAGGGACGAGCAACCTGTTGCCCACCAGTGTTTACAGCCCTGCTCGTTTCCAGCGGGCAGCGTCAAAGTGGAGGCGTTTTGTTGCCTCTATCAAGATGACAGCAATAAGGGGAAACAGACAACAGAGTCGGCCACTTACATCCGGCTCGGAGACAATAGCTGCCGGCGGCCTGAGCAGACTGCAGCCTCCTCCAGTGGCGGCTATTTCCAGGTGTACGGCGGGGAGAGGCCACAGCAGAGCGAGCAGCAGCAGCAGCAGCAGCTGCCCTCCGGCTTTACTCTGACCCACTTGGCGTCATCTGTTGAAACAACAGCAGAGTCGACAGTGAGCTGCAGCAAAATCGCGCAGGAGGTAGCCAGAGAGGCTCCTAAAACAGATGAGGGTGAGAGCAGGAAGGAAGACAAGGCCAAGAGTGACAGCTGCTCAGATAACTCGGACGGGGAAATTAAAGGTATACTCCCCCTCCCGGACACACGTGCATATATATATATATATATATATATATATATATATATATATATATATATATATATATATATATATATATATATATATATATATATATATATATATATATATATATATATATATATATATATATATATGCATATGTGTGTGTGTGTGTGTGTGTGTACACTTAAACTAACGGCTGTGATAATATAAATCGAATGTTCACGTGTGTGTGTGTGTGTGAGTGTGTAAAAGATCTCCCCAAAATATTCCAAGCATGGAGGCTTCGTGGATGTGCATGTTGTGTTTCTGTATGTAGCATATGCTTCAACTCGGTCTCGCAGGGGTTACGGTGCCACTGGTGTTTAACACCTTTCTATTAATGGGGGTGTGTGAGACGGGCAGTTATCATCGAAATAAACACACTTCCTCTCTTACACGGATGCACGAATACACGCTAGTGCTAACGTACAGAGACTGTCACACAAAAGCACACAAAGCACAAAGCTGGAATGTTTCTGCTTCTAAATCGCAGTTTAGAACAACATTTGCTTTACAATTATGCTGCTTGAAATATTATACTTATGGACAAAGCTGAACTTAATTAGAGCATATTTCTGAGGCTTGCATATAGGACTTGTATGTGATGTTTTTTTTTCCCTGCATGAAGGCTGCATTCATGAAGCAACGTGTTACTTTTTAAAATGTCAGTGTTTTTATTACGCTAATTATTTATAATAATTTATGTTGCTCTTGCTTTTAGTTTTGGTTAATGTTCGTTTAAATACTGAGGGAAGAAAAAACCGTGTGTCCTGGTTTTTTTGTCGTATTTATTTTCGCGTTTGATTCAGCCACAAATGCAGCGATTCTGTCAAACTCTGAGAGTTTGACCTAAAAAATAAATAAATAAATAAATAAAAAGTTCAGACATTTCCTCATAGTAGCTTGTAATTAATTTAAAATTAAACTATTGACATGAAGCAAATTGCAGTTTATATATATGTTCAATATTTATATCTATATGTAAAAGTTATGTGTGTGTGTGTGTGTGTGTGTGTGTGTGTGTGTGTGTGTGTGTGTGTGTGTGTGTGTGTGTGTGTGTGTGTGTGTGTGTGTGTTGATGTTTGTGTGTCTTGTCTGTCTGCCTGTAATGGGGAGTGGTTTGGGGGATACGGGTGGCGTGTGTGTGTGTGAGTCTGTGTCTCTGTGTGTTTTGTACTCCCATACAAAATTAAATGTTTTGGAAATTATTAAATGTGGGCCTCACGCTGAGAATTCACATTAGACTAATCACTGCTGCCACTGGGTGCGTTTGTGGATAAATGAGGAGTTACTCCCCTGACTCTGTGAAGTTAATCAAAAAAGTCATTCATCGTGCAGTAGTTATTTATTTGTTTGGTTGGTAGGTTTTCCTTCCTTCCTTCATTTTCTTCTTACTTTTTTTTCTCCTTTCTTTCTTTTTTTCTTTCTTTCACACCCTCCCTTTTTTATTTTTTAACAATGAAATGTGAATGAATGTTTTTTTGTGGAATTTTGCTGAGTAAATATGAGATAAAGGTCTTTCTTTCACACCCTCCTCCCACATGTCCCCCCGTCTTGTTTTTTCTTGTTTTAATATTTATTTTCCTTTTTATATGCCTTTTTTTTTCAATCCTGAATGTCTTCCTTTGCAACAAGAAACTACTTTTTGCGTTGAATTTAACCTCTTAAAAAAATCTTTTGGCTCTTGAGTGCAAACGGCAATAAAATTTTATGGGAGTCTGAGGTGCAACAAAGACAATAGTTGCTTCTTGGGGTGGTTTGATTTGATCTAATTACAGTTGTACATCACGCAAAAAGCAATTTGCAGCTAGTAGTCTGGTGGGTCGTAGGCAAAACGTGCGGTGTACCTCATTTGTTAAAGTGGAAAGGGAAGCATCCACATCCAGGTAAAAGCTACTTTGACGTCCTGATCCTTGTAACGTCATTCAAGGAGCTCTGGATGTGATACAGGAAACGGGTGCGTGCTGGCTGGTTCTCAGTCATGTCTGTCAGGATTTATCCGCTGCTTTTTTTATTGATTGGTTTTTTTTCTTCTGCTTCTTTGTTTTATTATTGCTTTCCCTCTGTCACTGTTGTGTTTGTCCCATTCCGACAGATGATTCATCCGCGGAAAAGACAACGGGGAGCTGGTTAAAAGCCAAAAGTGGAAGGAAGAAGCGGTGTCCCTACACAAAGCACCAGACGCTGGAGCTGGAGAAGGAGTTCTTGTTCAACATGTATCTGTCTCGGGAGCGCCGCCTGGAGATCAGCCGCAGTATCAACCTGACCGACAGACAGGTCAAGATCTGGTTCCAAAACAGACGCATGAAGCTCAAGAAGCTCAACAGGGAGAGCCGGGAAAGGGAGCAGAGTGCAGTTTACAACTATTCCTGAAGACTCTGTCAGCTTCAGGCGCGCTCACACACACTCTACAGGGGACCGTTTCAAATAGACATGCATGCGTCATTTTGTAATGCTTTTATCGGTTTTCTTTTTATGTGCACACAAACACACACTTTAAGGGTGCCTTCTAATGTGAATAGAGGAGCTGCAACTTGCAGAGAGAGAGAGAAAAAAGAGAGAGAGACAAGAGAGAGAGAGAGAGAGAGAGAGAGAGAGAGAGAGAGAGAGAGAGAGAGAGAGAGAGAGAGAGAGAGAGAGAGAGAGAGAGAGAGAGAGAGAGGGAGAATTGGAAGATTGAGGTGCAATTGTTTTGTGAAGCTGACTATTGAGGCAGCCTCGGTCAGATTATAAATTTACAGTGACACTTTGACACTGCTGAGCTGTTCATGTTTCGTCACTTGTGTGCTGCTGCTGCTTCTTCGTTTTTGGTGTCTGTGGGAATTTCGTGCTGTGTAACGTGCATGCACAAGGTGACATTAAGCTCTGTCATGCTAAACGGTTCCAAACTAATAATAAAAAAGGAGGATAAAATGGAGAAGTACCACCAACTTTGTCCTTCCCCTGGCACACTGGGTTTGAAAAACGTGAGGGAGGGGAAGACGCTGCGGACGGGAAGAAGGAGATCATGGCAGTTTTAATAGAATTGAGAGACCATAACGTTGATTTAAATATTATCCAGGTGACCACAGTAAGTCAAGGTCATAAAATTCTAATGTCAGGTTCGCCCTGGAAAGCGTTGGGGGTGGATTTTATGATCTGCAAATATAATGTGCCGCAGCAGTAAAAGATGCGTTTAAAGGTGTGTGTGCGTGCGTGTGTGTGTGTGTGCGGAGGAGGACTAATCCACACGGCAAGGAGCCCCGTGCAAAGTGCAGCAAGCCAGCCGGGGTGCTGCGTGAACTGCAGGGAGCAGCAGGAACCACCGCCGCCGCCTCCACTGCAGGCGGAGAAGGAGTGGGTGAGAGATGGGGTGGAGGGGGGGAGGAGGGGGGATAATTGAGCTTCGTAACTGCTGGAAGATAAGAAACATGGAGGATAAAGGCACAATGAGAAAGGCTGCGGCTGCAGGAGTAACACGCATCGGGACAATAGAAGCGCACCTGTGTGGATGCGAGGAGGCAAGGAAAGGTAGGATGGATGATTTTGTTTCCTGATTTGGAGGCTGTGCCACAGCTGTCAGCGGGGCTCGCCTGACAGCTCGTGTGGCACGCACTGTGCATGCTTGATCATGTCACTGTTGTTTATATGAAGTTGTCTCGCATAAATAATCCAATAAGCATGCTGTTGTTTGCTGTTATAACATTCCTTTCTTTAAATAACAAAGCTGGCTGATGGATATATATATATATATATTAGCATTGTGCAGTTGGAGCCTGAATGTAGCTGTTAGTTTGGACCAATTTCCTCTCCTGTGATGCTGCAGGGTTAGCTTTTTATTTTTGGGAAAAAAAAATAATAATTTTTTGTTCCCAAACGAACCATGCAATCGACTGAAAAAGTAAACAGGCAATGTGTGAAACAGTGTATGTGCTGAGTTTATACTTGCCCTTTTCCCTCATTGTGCTGGTTGTCGCTCATCATCTTGTTGCCTTTTGCACTACTGTCTCCTTTCAATGGATATTTGCACGAAGCTGAAGCGTGGTTTAGGTAGTTTCATGTTGTTGGGGTTGGCTTCCTGACTCGGCAACAAGAAACTGCCTTGATTACGTCAGTTCGTCTTCATCAAGGGCACAATTTCCACTGAATTGCCCCCCTATAGGCACCTCCAGGTCCCCCCCACCCCCGCAAATGGCATTGTAAATGAACTGGGGCAGCTATACCTTGGACAGAGAAGTTTTGTTTCTTTGCTGTTAGTTTGTGGCGGGGCTGTAAAAAGCTTCTGAGGCTCTCACAAATAGAATGGGCTGTAAACAACCAGGGGTAAACTTTTTTAGACTGTGTTGCATCTGTCGGTTAGGGGCTTGTGTGTGTGTACGTGCTGTCGCTTCACGATGAAAACAGACGCAATGATATTAGACGAAGAAATTTCACATTTTGGAGTCATTTGGCAACTGCTGGGGTCGTCGTTATTATTATTATTATTATTATTATTATTATTATTATTATTATTATTATTATTATTATTATTATTATTATTATATTATTATTATTATTATTGTTGTTGTTGTTGTTGTTGTTGTTGTTTTCAAGATTGCTCTGAGCGTTTCTTTGCAAAACTCAATTTTTCATTCAGAAGAGTTCAAATAGAAATTGAAATGCTCTTTGTCATTACAAATTAATAGATTACAAATAACTACATGAAACATCAGGAGACCAACAGATGTGTTTCGTTTGGAGTCTCGTGTTTGTTTTTGTTTTTTGATAAATATCATTTTTATTCTTTTTTTTCATTATTCGTTTGCTTTGCTTTGTCACAGTTGGTGTTTGATTATTTTATCAAAAAGACCCAGTTCGATAATTAAGTTCATTTCCACCTATTTCGGCAAATTTTATTAAGATTTTCCATGCTAGGATCTTTGTTTTTTTTCGTCATTTTTCTTCCTATTATTTTTATTTTTATCTTTTATTTCGCACAGGTAAATAACTTGTTGTCCTGCATGGGGTCAGGCATTATGCAGACCATAACTTTAGACGTTTGTCCAACAGCTAAACATTTTGTGATTATTGCAAGGTCATTGCAAGAAAATCAATCAAACGTGAAAGGGATCCAAGATCCCCCCAAAAAACATTGATAGGAAGCATTTCTGTTTTGGAGCAGTCAGCATGTTTTCTGTGTCAGTGTTTATTCCGGTTTGTCATTTTCTTGGCCCCCACCTTGCTTTGGCTTTAGCGCCACTTGGAAGAGACAGTCTGGAATCCAAAGTCATTTTCATTCAGCTCCGTGAATGAGCGTGTCTCTTGGAATGCACCACTTTACAAAGACTTCAGAGCAACAGGAAACAGCCCCACAGAGTTGCACAGATCCAACCTAAAACCGTGCAAGCATAAAACAATTTATGCCACGCTGCAAGTGGCTCTATTTGCAGCAATCGGAGCCGTTCGACGGGCGCGTCTTTGGCGGAACATGAGGATGTGCTAGTCTGACAGCAGCTTGATCTGACTACAAATCCTCTAAGGGGTTTCTTCCGTTATTTATTTATTTATTTATTTATTTTATTTATTTATTTATTGCCTTTCCACCGCTTTCGAAACATCCGTGCATATGTGTATATATTTGCAATAGTGAGAGTTTTTCAGTTGATGACACATAACGAAGGAAACCTTAACGCTGCATGTTTGAATACTATGTTTAAAAAAATAGGTGAAGTCCTTTTACATTGATTTTCTCTCAGTACATTTGAATTTATTGACATATTCGGTCTCACTTCGTGACTCCAAGCGCTCGATTTAACGGTGCATAATAAAAGCGAACGGTCTAAAACAAAATGCATACCTCAAGTTTCATGTTACTTTCACTCAGTGTTATAATTTTATCAACTTAGATCTGTGTCATATTTGTGTCGTCATCCTTTTGGGAGAGGGGGGGGGTAAATCATAATAAAAGTGACTTCCGCATAAAATGGATGTTTCTAAACGGTTGTCAACAAAGATATTACTTGCATTTAATGTCATCATGAATATTATTAACTTTTGGAGATGTGCGAATGGGTACGAAATGTTGCGGCAGGACACTTATGACCAGCGGGCCTGATCGTCAGTAAAGTTTTATTAGAAAGCTGCAGTTATTTCAGAGTGACGGAAACCGTTTGAAGTCGGATTATCTGAAACCAGAAACTTTTATCTCGTTGAGAGGACTCTCGAGTCCAGTTAGTGCAGGAGTCCCCGGGATCACTGGGCTCTTTAGTTCGTAACGTTGTGTTTCAGCTGCGCTATCTGCTCAACACATGGGACTTGTAGAAAGAAGTCGTGGTATTCCTGCTGAGTGGGCCCATGTGGAGCCTTGCAGCACACACACAGTCTGGTCCAAATATGACACCGAAGGATGTGTCCGCGTGCGTGGTGTGGGATGGAGAAAGTGCTTGATCTGAACCGTGCTTGGCAAATCAATTTTGCTGAGTCGGCTTTATTATATTTTATCATTGCAATGACGAAGAACTATAATGGAATGGTAGTTTAGATTTTTCGGGCTATTGTTTTGCTGATCTTTTTTATTATTTTTTTTTTTTGTAGAGGTATTCCCGCTACTCGTTATCTTTTAGAGTACTTGCTATTTGGATGCGAGCAAGTGCGCTTCCAATAAAATAAATGCATCTTTCCATATGCTTATGCTTCAGGTAGCAACACAGAGGTATAAGACACAGATGTGTATTTTATAATCATATCTTCACTGAACTGTCGAGCCTTTAAATATATATATATATATATATATATATATTATATATATATATATATATATATATATATATATATATATATATATATATATATATATATATAATATATATATATATATATATATATATATTTGTGTGTGTGTATATTTGTTTTTTTTTTTTTTTGTTTTACATTTTTAAGAATAAAATATATTTCTATGAATAAATAAGTTAAAACGTGACTTTATGTTAAGCTCTGATTCTGACTATTGTACTCAGGAAGGAGAGTGTCATAGTTAACATGATTTGAATGTTTCGTGAACTGCGGCAACACCCATACTAAGGGGAACAACCAAGTTGTTCGCTGCTTGGTTTCAGCTCTGAATTTAGCTGCACATGGCCATACGATAAGGATTGCAAAACAGCCAAGCATCATCTGTAGGCCAGATATGATTCCTATAGCCTTAGTGCTAAGATGATTTCTCTTTTGTGATGACGTAATGTCTTGCCGACATGTGTGACTCAATGGAAACCTGAAATGGAAGCACGAAATAACTCCTGTGCAAACTTTCGTGACAGACTTGGCGTCTTGTTTTCGGGGGAATGTTTTAAAGAACACGACATCTTCTCCTTGATCCGAATTAAAACTGCTCGAGAGCGGCTAAAGGCTGATGTTTTATCCTTATTTTGGAGCCATTTTGCTTCCCTTCTGCTGCTTAACTTACTAATTTCGACTCTTTCATTTTCACGCAGCCTTCTTTTGGAAATATGCCAATAAACGTGGATCTCCTGTTCACGCACATGTTTTTGTTTTTTTTTCCTGGATTTGAACCAGACTTTCAAAATGTAAAAGCGAACAATAATTATCTTTAAGATTATTGTTATTCGACATGCTACCGTTGCGGGTCGCCAGAAAATACAGAAAAAAAGAAAGACAAGTGCAAAGGATTATTTAACATTTTCATGTTTTTATTGCAAAATAGGTGGACAAATGAGTAAGATTCATATAGTCGAACTTTTCTTCTAATATCAATTAAATGGTAAGGACACATTAACACATAGCATTTGCATGCATTCGCGCACACGAACGGAGTATATCGCGTAATGAACGCAGAACCACAGGTGCACTTCCAAAACAATTTAAGTGATCTCTTTGGAGTACAGTAAATATCTATACAGGATACACAGTGCATTTATATGACTGCAGATTAAAGTAATAAATGGCCTGTGAGTGTGATTCATTTACATTTTTATATCGCATGAAGAAACAGGCGTTGACATCCGGCACACAGTGAACAACTTCTTAATATAGCTGATTCATACTGTGGCAATAAATGTGCAGTGTGGATCCGTTTGCTTTCATAAATTCTTGACAAAGTTATTGAACACGGTCGGTTCAGTCTGCCGCGTTCATCAACAATCAAACCACGACACCGTCTTGACGTGATCCGGGTTAAGGTCTGCCGTCTGGCCTGTTAAATTTCATGGTTGAATCTGAACTCAGCGAGCACGAGAAACCCAACACTGTCTCAATGTTTTGTTTGAAAAGAACAACAAAGCACAAAACAGCGACTCTCAGTCTTAAACGGTTTGAGATATGTATTATTATTATTTTTTGTAATTAAATTACGAATGTTGGGGAGGAAACGCCTGAACCTTGACTGGTAGTACTGTGGTGATAACAGTAGAGAGGGTACGTCGCTGTTTGTTATTGATTGTTCAGACGACATTTTTGAAATGCATGGAATGCACTGCTGAAATAATCGGAGATAATTTTGGAACATAATGCGCACTTTTTAACAGCTCATTTTATTCTTTTTATATGTAATCAACGTAATAATATATACATTATTGTACTGTATATATATATAAACACGTTTATTGACCTGTTGTTGTATTTTTCTCCTGTTTTTGTAATGTTGCGACTTCGCTTAGTCGGTGAATCGCTCCATCTCAGGTTTCAGACATCAGAGGTGTGTTGTTAAGTAAAACGGCAGGATACAAAAGTATCATTTTCAATTTTATGAACGCTTTTATGGAGTTATATACCCCCTCATGTACACCGCGTTATATTATCTGCTGCCATCGGCCTTTTCGATTTCATTGTTGATATTATATATATATATTGTTTTTAGCAGGCGCACACAATGGTGGCGGCTTTTATTTTTAGCAGGGATCTCAGATGCTCTCCATATTAACGATACGTTTATGAACAATCAAATGGTCCTCGTTAAAATTTATTGATGGACATAAAAACCTCGAACGGTCACTGGCCGAATATAGTTGGCTTTTTTTGTGGGCTGTGAGTCTGTAAGCCTTCGGAATCTCCTTCTCGGCTGTATCTGCACAAACCCCATTTAGGGAATGTTTGGTCTTCAGGCTCTCGTTAAAAGTCGTGCGAAATGCGTCCCTTATTTTGATTCTCCCCAGTTTCCACCGCGCACGTCTCCCTGCTGCAGCTGCGGATGCTGCCGTCAAGGCTTTTCTCTTTATGTATCCCTGAAAACAATAAACGGCATTCTACGAGAAGTTATAAACTCCTCACTTTATCAAATGCTGCTTTGCCGAGGATAAAAAGAGCCAACGATTCAATAAACGCTTTAATGCTGTAACAGTATCTATTGAAGTAGCATAGAGCTCTGACAGAGATTAATTACACCATCAAATAGTTCCTTGCTTTAACACGCAGTGTGCGCAGGTCTGTGCTACGACTGGATAAAGATCTAGCTGCAGCACTGCGCATGAATGGTTTCCTTATTCTAAAAAAAGGAGAAATGTTAGGGCAATTTTACCTCTATGAGTCCAGGAATGAGGTGAAAGAACACTTTGTTTAATCCCATTTATGTGCATTGGTATCCCTGGATAAGTGGCGCATTGATCCACTGTACAATTTTTGTGGGGGTAAATATAATCACGTGTCAGCGGGTCAGCCAATGGGAGCCAGGGAAGCTTTGAGAAATAATTACCTGCCTTGATTGTTCTATGGCTAGATAAAAAAGTACACATACACTCCATATAATAAACGGATGCATGTAAAAGAGTCGGGGAGGCTTCGACATGTCGACCACGGGTCCCATAAGTAATTATTATGTGGACTCCTTGATCAACCATGAGAACGAGGATGTCCTTGCTGCGACTCGGTTCTCTGCTCCCGGTTCGCACCCAGCTGGCCCCCGTCCGACATCCCTAGTCCCGGAGTGCGCCGACTATCCTTCCTGCAGCTTCGCACCCAAACCGACCGTGTTCTCTACGTCCTGGGCCCCCGGACACTCCCAGTCATCAGTGGTCTACCATCCGTACAGCCATCAACCGCACTTAGGCACAGACTCGAGGTATATGCGCTCATGGCTGGAGCCGATCTCAGGCGCCGTGCCTTTTCACGGCTACCCGGGGAACGGCAGACATTACGGACTGAAGCCCGACGCCTTCCAGGAACACAGAGCCGGGGAATGCCTCAGCTCCGCCGGACGGACCTACCCGGATTATCTGTACTGCTCATCCACTGACATGCGAGACAAGACGCCGCAGAACGTCCCCTCTCCCGAGTCGGAGCTTCTTGCGTCTGGGAAGCATAAGGAGGAGAAGCCGGAGCTAGATCCTAGTAAGTCAACGCTTCTTTTACAGCCAGGAAGCATTCTTGTTTTGGTCTGGAACTGTTGTGAAATGAAATTAGAAATGGCTTCTCCCTTTTCCTCGCGGCTCAAATGTGAAACGCCTGTGCTGGAAGGGGGGAAAGCTTAAGGAACTATAAAAGACAAACGCTACCAGGCTAATATTGGGGGGCTATAAAAGCAGACGGGGTTGTAAACATGGACTCAAAACTGCAGGATAAAGACGTTGAATTTGGATGGATGCTGTCGGATTTCGGACGTTTTCATTTAAAAGTGAACACCCTGAATCTGACATATGAATCTATTCATCAGCAAACTGCTCATGATTCATTTTTACGATTATATTTTGACCCCCGTGTCAGTAAAAGGCGGCATACAAGCCAACTTTTAGTACTTTTCTTTTTTTTTTCAACAGGGCCTTAACGTGCAACAAATCCATATTCCCAGATATGAAATACTTACCAGTCTTCTCAGCTATGATAAGATTACGTGTTTACAGACACAAATGTATAATTTAGTCTGCTTTATTAAGTACAAAACTTATCCACAGGCAACTTGAGGAATGTGGGGACAAACTCGAGGACTTTCACCACGGACCTGTAAAGGCTTGAACCACGGGCCATTTTATGAGCCTATAAAGTGAATACGCGCACTGAGTATTTTACGACGGTGTTACTCACAAGTTAAGAGAACAAGAAAGCAAATCAGCGCAGGATTGCTCTGTGTTGGGTTTTATTTAAACTACTAAATGTTAATTTAGCTTGAATGTAAGCTGTATTATAGGGTTGACTGTAATTATTTTTATTTTTTGCACTTTCTGATGAGTCTTGGTTGCACGTTTTGCCAGTTTTTTTTTTTTGTGCGGGGGTCGCTGGGGGGTGGTTTACGTTCCTCTCTTATGACTATAATTGTATTTTATTTATTTATTTTATTTTTTATTTTTTTAATTTGCAGATAACCCCGTGGCCAATTGGATACACGCCCGCTCCACGAGGAAGAAGCGGTGTCCTTACACAAAGTACCAAACTTTGGAACTGGAAAAGGAGTTCTTGTTCAATATGTACCTCACCAGAGACCGGAGATACGAGGTCGCAAGGGTACTGAATCTGACCGAGAGGCAGGTCAAAATCTGGTTTCAGAACCGGCGAATGAAGATGAAGAAAATGAACAAGGACAAGAGCGACAACAAGGAACAATAATGACTGTCGAGAGAGCGAGCGAGCGAGAGAGATAACCAATTAATAGAAAAATAAATAAAAATCTACAAAAAAATAAAAAATAAAAATGGACAGCACAGATTTACCAAAACGTAAAGCCTCCACCACGTCCTTCATCTTATTTGTCACTTTGTTGGATTTGTTTGTAGTACCATTAACCTCAGTCTTTGTGATGCTGAATATTATTTTAGTGCACAATTTAAACATTTAAGAGAGAGAGAGAAAAAGAGGATACAGCATAGAGACTTTTGTTGAGAAAACAATCTGCTTTCACTTTTATATTTCTATGTAAGAAAAATCTAAATGAGCAACGTTTGGATGACACACAATCTGTCCGAAGAAATAGAATACTTGAATTCTTTTTTGAATTTCAAAAGAAAAAAAACCCTATAATTTATGACGTGAATGTTGTTGTTTTTGTTTTTTTTTCCTCAATGTTTATTTTATTTGTATACTTCCTGACGCAGGTGTACAGTATTTTGTACAGAATCAGAAGCATCTGCGAGCGCCTCGTCTGTGTTGTATTTTGTGATAGTTGTTGCTGTAAATGTGCTTTATTTGTTTGTCTTTCTTTCTGACTTTCTCTCTTCGTTTCTTCTTTCTTCCTTCCTTTCTTTCATTCTTTCTTTCTTTCTTCTTTCTTTCTTTCTTTCTTTCTTTCTTTCTTTCTTTCTTTCTTTCTTTCTTTCTTCTTTCTTTCTTTCTTTCTTTCTTTCTTTCTTTCAAGATTTTGGCCATATAGCTGGCGAGTTTTAATTAAAGAGTGTAGCTGAATAGAGCTCTGCAAATATAATCATGATCACATAAAGGCTTGTTTTCTGTGTTCATTGGGGATGTGATGCAAGTGGAATTTGGCTACACGGGAGGTTGGGCTTTAATAAGGCAACGCATAATGAGGAAACTCATTTTCTTTAAAAACAGCAGGCATGTTTGAGGCAATCGCGTTTTTCTGCGAAGGCTGCAAAGGCCTTAATTAAGAAAGGTTGGGCTCAAAACGAGGTTAAATTGAAAGCACGTTTTCATTTTCGCCGTTTTAGCGAGCGTCTTTTACGCTACTATCAAGGCCGACACGGGTCATATTTGCAGCTAAGCGATTTTTTTTTTTGTTTCTTTTTTTTTTTGCAAATCAAATTCCAAAATATGTGTTTTAGAAACGTACCTCAGTGCAACAACAGCACGACACATATCTTAATAATATCCCCACAATTAAAAGAGACATTTGCAATATTAAATGAGCATGACTCGATCCGAAAACTTCCACTTAACCTTTCAATTTTTAACTTGCGTTTGGTATTGCACACACACACACGCAAGCACAGCACAAACACACGTGAGCAAGCAAGGAAGCACAACACACACACACACACACACACACACCCACACACACACACACACACACACACACACACACACACACACACACACACACACACACACGCACACACACACACACACACGCACACACACCACACACACACACCACACACACACACACACACACACACACACACACACACACACACACACACACGCACAGAGTGCACAGAGGTTTCCAACTGTATAGGTACATGTCCACCAAGGCTTCAAAGATGGCAGAGAAAGAGAGAGGGGAAAAAAATATGCTGACAGAATTTGAACGGCTGAACTTTTAAGTGAGCGACAATTTCCCTTGTCTCACATTTGTTTCCTGGGATAGGCCTAAATTGCCTTTTTGTGGTGGCAAACAATGCAGACAGGATGCTGTAATTTCAAAGCCCGATCCCAGCGCATTTCCGCTCAGCTCTGCTCAGCTCAGCTCAGCCCGGACAAAGATGCCAGTTTTACAGCCCCTGTTGGAGCTCGGGCTGTTTGTCTCAAATGCAGACGAACAAAGCAAACTCGACTCACTGGCTAGACGTCTGGGCTAAATTACTTTATGGTTTTAATGGACGGTGCTGCTGCTGCTGAACTCGTTCAAAGCACTGTTCGTGGGGGGACTCCTTTTCCCTTTCCACTGATAGGCTAACCGCCCCTGCACTTCGTCTCAGGACTGGTCGATCAGTCTACAATTGGATGGAGAGAAGTCAATAATTATTATGCACAAATATGAGAGCTGCACTGCAGATATCTCTTGGCAATTTCGTAGTTGGTCAGCATAACAGAAAAACAGCGCGGCATCGGTTTAAAGCGCCATAAAATAAGATTTCTCCTTGTTGGCGCAGGGATTTGGTTAACTAATTCATTGAAGTAAAAGGCCAGATATTTTCCAATTTTGGAGGACAAATGGGAACATCATTCACATCCGCATCACAAATGTTTCTGATTGGTCGAAAGGGTTAGTTTAAGGGAAGGTTCCTAACACTAGATGACGCTGTTGATCAACGTTTTGACCAGGAGCCCATGTCTTTTGGAGGTGGGGGGATGGGGGGCTGTTTTGCAAGTCTGTGGCTTTGCTAAAGAGTGAAAAGTAACTCTGTCGATGACAATGTGACAGATATGCTCACGCACCACATTTGCTGTAATAGCCCACAAAGCGGCTCATTCTGAGAGCGGCGGACCTAACGTTGGACGTGACCACAGAGAATGTCCACAAGCAAGACACAAGCATGTATATGTATGCCTGTGTCCTGCTTTTATATATATATATATATATATATATTATATATATATATATATATATATATATATATATATATATATATATATATATATATATATATATATATATATATATATATATATATATATATATATATATATATATATGTCTGTGTGTGTGGGGGGGGGGTGTGGGGTGTGTGTGTGTAGGTGTACGTGTGTGGATGTAATAATAATTATTATTATTAGTAGTAGTAGCAGCAGCAGCAGTATTATTATTATTATTACTTTTAATAATAATAATAATAATAATAATAATAATAATAATAATAATAATAATAATAATAGTAGTAGTAGTAGTAGTAGTAGTAGTCTTAATAGTAGTAGAAATACACAGAAAAAATAACTATTTTAAACAAGAATATTTTCCATGTGCTACACTCGGATTTGAATCATCACTAGGCCTACTCTGTTGTAATGTGTACTCCAGCAGTCCAAAGTGTTCAAGAAGTGATTGGCAATCTGCATATTTATAGAGTGCAAAAGGTCTATAAACTCGCCCAGTGCTCCTTTCACATTTTACGATGATGCGCATAAAACATCAGTGACTCCACTATAACGTGTGTGGCATATTTGGACTGAAGGACCATATGAAAGTGTACGGAGCTTGAAACTGTGCATGTTTTCACTGTATACACAGTTAAGCACCGCAAAGGTACCAGTTTTTGAACCTCGCCTTGTGATAGATTTATTGCTGATCCTCGTCGGTTTTTTTTTTTTTTTTTTTTTTTTTTTGACGCGGTCAGTTAGTGGCCACCTATATTATTCATAATTTGCCTTTGTTATTTCCGTGTCACGGTGCGTCACAGCGCTTGATGCCAAGAACATGTTAGCATGGCCTTCACAGGCTACTGACGGGAAAGTTTTTGCCTGAAAATCCAGTATTTTACATGCTATGTCAGCTATTGTCAGGTGTTTCTTTAGGTTTTGGGTTTTCATATAGCAAAAAACAACATAGCAATCTCAAAGGGTAGTGCTGACCCACAGTGGGTCATTAAAGGTCAAAGATAATGCAAATAGAATGGCATCTGTATATGTTTCAAACGGGAAATCCTAGCGATCCTACAATCCTCAGCCTTTATATTTTATGAATTCAGACTGTACTGGAAGTGTATCTTTTGAACCCCCTTTAACGTCTTTGGTCAACTTGTAACAAAGCTCTGCTGTGATAAACACAACATTGATCATATTTACAGCCTATTAGATTGTTGGGTTATGATTAGTGAATCTCCTCTCAAGGTGGATATACGTAGGGCCCACGTCTGAACGGTCACGGAAAGATGAAGGGGTGGGGGGGCTTCAGAGGAGAGGTGGGGGCGGCTGGGTGGGAAGCTTGGGGGGGAAAAAAAGGAAAAAGAAAGAAAAGAGCAGTGTCTGTGACTGTGCCGCCAGCTTTAACACATCCAAAGCGCATGCCATGTGCCGGGTTTGACTGTGCACGGACCGGAGGGGAAGAAGAAGAAGACGCTCACGACGCTAGAAATCCGATGAGAGGAACGGCTCAGAGAGAGTGAGCTGCCGTAGATTGTCCAAAGGGGCAGCGTTTCTCACAGTTCCGGTTTGTCTGTCTGTGTGTGCGCGCTGTGTGCGAGAGTTGGGACCCCAAACAAAAGGCTGCCATCATCCTACAGGATATCTTCAGCTTGCGAGAGAGAGAGAGAAAGAGAGAGAGAGAAAGACCGAATCTGCTTGATGCTTAACCGAACATGAGCTCCTATTTTGTTAACCCTCTTTTTTCTAAATACAAAGGCAGCGAGTCACTGGAGCCAACTTACTACGACTGCAGGTTCCCACAAAGCGTCGCCCGCAGCCACACGCTAGTTTACGGACCCGGTGCCGCTGCGCCGGGCTTCCAGCACCCGAGCCATCATGTTCAGGACTTTTTCCACCACGGAACCACGGGGATCTCCAATCCGGGATACCAGCAGAACCCCTGCGCTCTCGCGTGCCACGGCGACGCGACTAAATTTTATGGATACGAAGCCCTTCCGAGGCAAACGCTTTATGGTGCCCAGCAAGACGCGAGCCTAGCGCAATACCCGGACTGTAAATCGTCGAGCAGCTCTAACCCCGGAGAAGGACAAGGCCACTTAAATCAAAACTCCTCTCCCAGTCTTATGTTTCCTTGGATGAGACCCCACGGTCAGAATCAAACAGCTATTGTTTTATTATTCCTCACTCTTGCTCTGTCTGTCTATTAGAGAGCGTATGTGTGTGTGTGTGTGTGTGTAGGTGTGTGTGCGTATGTGTGTGTTTCTGTGTATATGTGCATGTGCATGAAACATATGCCCAAGTATAGGCTACTTGAGTATTTTTTAAATAGTGTAATAAAATAAGTGAGGGAACATGATGGGGCAGATACAACCTGAGCTGCAGGCAGCTGTTCCTCTGCAGCACATGTCTATACAGGGCTTCTTTCAAACCGCTGAATATTACACATCCCAGCTCATAACAACTATGCTCTTTGAAGCCCAAGAATGGCTCACTTAGGCTTTTCCACAAACTCTAACGGGGAGATGATGGGGTGATTGGGCACGTGCACCATCAGCATTCAAACAGACACTGTTATTCAGTGTGTTTAGCCCTCATCTCGATCTTGCAGAGTCCTTGTACCCGTGGTCTTTAAAGGGTAATTTGACCCCACAGGCCCACTGTGGCTCAAGCTCAAACTGGTCATAATCGTGGGAGCTTTGTGGGTAATGTAATTCCAATCATCATGGGCCATTCTGGTCAGGATATCGGGCTGCAGGAACTCCATAGAGATGCAAACCTCGTGCAGTTATTGTGCATCAGTTGAGAATCCCATCTGTCATTTTCTGTTCAAAGTTTCAACGTGTGAGCAAAAATATGTGTGACAGGTTGATACTTATCACATAGTACATTGTATTAAGTTGTGCAAATGGAATTAATCCAGGAAAGCACTTGAATGAAGACATGTATATATATATATATATATATATATATATATATATATATATAATATATATATAATATATATATATATATATATATATATATATATATATATATATATATATATATATATATATATATATATATATATAACACTATTGCCTTCTGAATGCTACTAGAAACTCCTGAAAAGAGATATTTTTTCCCTCACACTTTCCAAGAACATTCTGATTCAACTCGATTGGTGTTTCATTTGTATCCACCGTTTTTATTCATGAGTATGTTTCCAGTGCGTCAAGCTAACCTCTGACTTTATATCACCCAAGCCCCAGGCAGAAGGAACGGGAGACAAACCTACAGCCGCTACCAGACCCTTGAACTGGAGAAGGAGTTCCTCTTCAACCCTTATCTGACCCGCAAGAGGAGGATTGAGGTGTCCCACGCCCTGAGCCTCACCGAGCGTCAGGTGAAGATCTGGTTCCAAAACAGGAGGATGAAGTGGAAAAAGGAGAACAACAAAGACAAGTTT